CTATGAGGACAATTTTCATTGCCGCCTCCCTCCATCACCAAAATAGCCAGCCACCATGGACCGACAACCAGCCACAAAAAACCAGCCTTCATTGCCGCTTCCAAAAGTCAGCCACGTATCAAGGTTCCTCTAGCTATGCATCCAAGGTTTCTGTCGACCCAGCACATTCATCACTCTCTTGCTCAGGCCAGAACCCGTGCACCACCGCTGTTCAGCTGGGCACCCTCGACTGCTCAACCGTTCCGTTCCAGATGCAGGCACTCTATCCAAGCATTCACAACTGCATGCGCCTACCTTGAGTGCCTTCACTAGTCATAACGCAGCCTCTGTCTTCGAGCAGCCTAACTACGTGTAGCAAAGTCCTGCACCCCTCTACCCCAATAACAGCCGCTCTCTGTACCAGTGCACATGCTCCTGCCGTGTGCTTGCCACCAGTACCTGCTCCAGCTACTCAACCACCTTTCTGGAATATACTGCATCACCAGCCACCACCTGCAGTCGTTCCTTAGCTGCTGTCCTTGCTGTCCAACCATAACAAGCGGTATATTTAACCCAGTTAATCGCCCTTGTTGTCTAATTTTTTCAGATCATGTCAGACGTAACCACTGACCCTAGTCGCGACATAACAACTTCAGATCTCAGTAAATTCAAAGTAGAGACTGAAAGACTAAGGACTCAACCTTTGGGGTCCGTTAAATATTCCCAACATTTCTGGGAGTAAATGATTTGTTTCTTTTATATATGATTGTACATAGATAACCTGGGTCTTCCTACAGAATCCAAATATGAAGTGAGTCGTGTTTTTCCTCAATTTTATTACATGATTAACACTCTGTTGGGGTAAAACACCTTCCGACTAATAATGCTAAAGATTACTTCAATCAAACGTTGTCATCCTTTTTTCACACTAAGAAGATTATTCATGAGTCTTTGTGTACACATTCCATAACAAAACGGAGGGGTAGAAAAGACAAGTAATCACTTATGTGATACTATCTGTGTCTTCTTGTTTCAACACCAGGTACCTAAATAATATTGGGGGCAAGATAGTTTTAACTGCCACATATCTTCAAACAGCTAGGGTATTAGAGTTCTGAAGCCCATAGAAGTTCTCTATATCTTTTTCATTGAGGCAAGGGTCACCAATCACCTTTCCCTAGAATTTTTGTGTGTTGCTTATATTCACGTACATCACCACTAAAACAGAAAACTTTGCTCGAGGTCCATTAAGTGTGTGTTTGTAGGATACTCTGATAAAAATGCTATCAACCTCCTATAAAAAAATATATGCATTTGCAAATACACATTTGTTGAAACCAAATCTTTTTTTAAACCAAATCTTTTTTTAAACCAAACTTATTTTTAGGAGAAGACGGTACTGGAAGATAAGGCTTAACGACCAAACACTACGCGCTCCCAGCCTTAGTTAGCCTAAAACCAAGAAAGTTAATCCCAGATAAACCAAAATTCAGATAATGAGCCTAGCACAATAACCATACAACACCCACAATTCACTCAAGGAGAAAAAAATCGATTCCTGAACCAAAACAAGTTCAAGAGTTTGAGCTGAGTGCTGAGAATGAGATAACTCTTGGGAACTCTTAGTTCTTTGAGATGGATTTACCTATTACTCTCAGAAAAAGGACTAAGGAATGTGCTAAAAATTTACTCTACCAAATTTCAAACTTTGTGTCATTTGATAAATGTTTTTTATCTCACAAAAATTTTCTTATGAGTTTAAATGCAGTGCCTATTCCTAGTACACTATCTAACACTTTATCTTGTGAAAAGTGGATAACTGCCATAGATGTTAAAGTGTAGATACTAAGTAGTGGATCTACCTAAAGGAAAGAAACCTGCATAATGCAAATGGGTGTTCACAATAAAATACAATATAGGTGGGACAATCAAAAAGTGTAAAGTAAGACTGGTGGTAAAAGGCTATATCCAAACTTACGGGATAAACTATCAAGAGATTTTTGTACCAGTGGCTAAAATGAGTACAATGCGAATAATATTTGTCCTTAACTACTCACTTTGACTAGAAACTATAATAATTCGATGTGATGAATGTTTTCCTACACGGAGATTTATAAGAAAAAATTTATATAAAAATTCCAACAGAATTTACCAAAGGATTAGGACTAAACACAATGTGCAAACTCAAGAAGGCACTCTACAGACTGAAGTAATCACCCAAAACATGATTTGGTAGGTTTGCAAAAGTAATGATAGGCTTGAGATATTAGCAGGCGCAAGGAGATCGTACCCTTTTTATCAAGCACTTAGATTAAGAAAAAATTGTAACTCTCATAATATATGTTGATGATATTATTGTAACAAGAAACAATGAAAAAGAAAAACTGATGCTTACATAATGTAGGACAAAAAAGTATTGAGATTAAAGGAGTTAAGAAAGTTGAAACACTTCCTTAGAATTAAAATTACCCGTTCAAAATCAGGAATCTTCATCTCACAACAAAAATACATCCATGACCTATTAAGAGATACTAGCAAGCTAACATGTCAACCAACTAGTACTCCCATCGATCTCAATCATAAATTGGAACTAGCAAAAGAGGATACGCTAATAAATAAAGAAACATATCAGAGCTGCTTAGAAGATATTATACCTATCACATACAAGATTGAACATTGCCTATTTAGTTAGTATCATAAGTCACTTCATGCAAAACTCTAAAAGGTACACTTATAAACAGTTAATAGAAAACCATATTACCTAAAAGAGACATCTATGAAAAGTATCATGTTCAGAAAAAATGACAAACTATCCTTATAAGCCTATATTGATGCAGACTACATGCGGTTAGTGGTAGACAGAAAATCTACATTAAGTTATTGTACCTTCCTTAGAGTAACTTAGTTCTTAA